TCCCTGTGAGGATGACAGCTGCAGCCTTTGCTCCCATGCAGGCCCTCCAGAAAGTTCCAACAGCAAGGCACTTCAGCCTCTGGTGATAAATCTGAGATGTTAAAAAGTTGGTGGGAATGAGGCTGGGTGGACATGGGCGAGGGCATCCTCCGATTGCCTGCGGTGTCTGTCCCACGTCAGCATCCTCTCTGGGCCACATGCCACCACCTTATTCTCTCTCCCATGGTCTGGACCCTCTGTCCAAGTCAAATTCAAATAAGCACTTCCTCCCACCCACGTTCTAACTTCTTGTGTTCCTCTCCTAAGAAGGTCAGCACATTCTTGTCTGTAAAGTCCCTGCTTTCCATTCTCCCCGTCCCCTAAGCATCAGCTCCCCAGACTCTTCCCCCAACCCCACACACAGAAGCTGCAACTTCCAAGTCTCTTCTAAGGAATTGTGCATTTCTCTCACCTCTAGAATTAGCTGTGAAGGAAGGCAGTTATCTGCCCACCTGATTCTGCTGTGGGTCAGATGGAAAGGGAGGGAGCTGGGAGTCTGGACGTGGCAGATGGGGTGGGGAGGAGATTCAGGCGATGCTCTGGGCTGCAGTTTGCTGCTACCACATCCACTGTTCCTTCCTAAGTTCTCACAATCTGACACAGCCCTCCCTGCAGGTACTGCTTTCTTGTCCACAGCCTCCACTGGTTGTGCAGTAAAGATTCCTATCCCTTGACCGGACACAGTGGCTCACACCTGTAATCCTAGTACTTCGGGAGGTCAAAGCGGGTGGATTGCCTGAGCTCAGGAGTTCGAGATCAGCCTGGGCAACAAGGTGAAACCCCATCTCTACTAAAAATACAAAAAATTAGCTGGGCGTGGTGGCATGCACCTGTCGTCCCAACTACTCGGAAGGCTGAGGCAGGAGAATTGCTTGGATCCGGGAGATGGAGGTTGCAGTGAGCGGAGAGGATACCACTGCACTCCAGCCTGGATGACAGAGTAAGACTCTGTCTCGAAAAAACAAACAAACAAACAAACAAAAACAAAAACAAAGAACCAAGAAAAAGAAAAACCATTCCTATCCCAGGAGCCCTGTTTCTGTGTAGGGGCAGAATTGTCTTTTTTTTTTTTTTTTTTTGAGAGGGAGTCTTGCTGTGTCACCTAGGCTGGAGCGCAGTGGTGCCATCTCAGCTTGCTGCAACCTCCACCTCCCGGGTTCAATCATTTCTGTCTCAGCCTCCCTAGTAGCTGCGACTGTAGGTGCTCACGCCACCACGCCGGGCTAATTTTTGTATTTTTAGTAGAGACAGGGTTTCACCATATTGGTCAGGCCAGTCTCGAACTCCTGACCTCAGATTATCTGCTCGCCTTGGCCTCCCAAAGTGCTGGGATTGACCCACCACATGACTCCCAGGCATGACCCACTGTGCCCAGCCCCCAGAACGTTGTTTTTATTCTGCTCAGAGACTGTTTGCCTTTTCCCAAATCTTGAGGTATGCATCGCAAAGCCTAACAAGGCCTCTGTAACCTTGTTCCTTCATAAGTGCCGAGTTCTTCACCTGGTTGGGGGGAGGGAGAGAGACATGGGCGAGGGTATCCCCACCACTGCTTCAAATTACTGTGCGCTACTGGATCCCCACCCTCTGCTCTGCTTCATGCTTGAAGCCAACAGACAGATGCTGTACATCCACCTGCTGCCCCTGGCCTCCATGGTCATGGCAGCCCCTCTGTCGGGGGCTGTACCCAGAGGCTGCTGTCATGGCCACCCCATTTTGGAGGTGAGGGGCCTGCAGCTGAGCCTGCACAGGGTCACACTGGTTCTTCTGGTCTCCTGAGTCTCTCTTGGGGGCTAACTAGCCCAGTCTCCGGAACTTCAGGAACCCTCCAGCCAGAGACAGGAGATGTGAAACTCGTGAGTGTTGAGAAATCAGCAAGGCCTGGGGAAGAGGCAAGGCTCCAGGCCTGAAGCAACACGCTTCCCCTTGCACCAACTGCCCTTTCTGAGGAATGGGCTTGTGGTTCTGTGGGGAGGGGACACCAAATGCCCACCTCGTGCAGAGTGCTGCACCTTTTACTGAGCTTGTTCAGATTGACAACCTCTCTTTCTCCTCACCAGAGGCTAGAGAGAAGAAACTGCTCAGGCTCTGGAGATAGACTGGGTTTGAATCCCAAGTCTACTTTGGGCAGTTTCTGTAACATCTCAGAGCCTTAAGGTGGCAAATGGCCAAGGACAGGGGCTCTGGACTCAGATCAACTTTGGAAGAGTCCTGGATGCACCCCCTACTTGCTGGATTCAGAGGGCAAGTAGTTCACCTCTTGGAGCCTCAATTTTCTCTTCTGCAGAGTAGGAGCAATAATAGTGCCAACAATTAAGACAGTCAGGAAGAAGTTCTTAGCTTGTGCTCTCTGGCGCATAGGAAGAGCTCAAGGCATCATGTCTCTTATGTTTCTCAAAGTTGCCATTATTGTCATCCAGGTTTCTTAGCTGCTTTGTCTGTCTTCCAAATGAGCTCCGTGGATCCTCCATCTTGGCCACATTAATTAGATAATTCTTTCTAAAAGAGCCTAATATTTAGCGATACCTTCATTACAACTGCTTTTCTGTAGATTTTTCTTATCCTGAGTGGGGTGAACATCATTAAAAAAATTAGGCCAGTCTTGGTGGCTTACACTTATAATCCCAGAGCTTTGTAATGCCAAGATGGGAGGGTCGCTTGAGACCAAGAGTTCAAGACCAGCCGGGAAAACAAAGCAAGACTCCGTCTCCACAAAAGAGTAAAAATAAAAAAATCAGCCGAGCATGGTGGTGCATGCCTGTACTCCCAGCTACTTGAGAGGCTGAGGTGAGAGGATCACTTGATCCCAGGAGTTCGAGGTTACAGTAAGCTATAATTGTGCCACTGCATTCCAGGTTGGGCAACAGAGGGAGACCCCATCTTTAAACAAAAAAACAAAAGCAAATAAAAAGAAGAAATGAAAATAAAGTAAAATTGCTTCTACTTTTAAGGATGATCTGGAACGTTCCTTTTCATAGGTGGCATGTGTTTTGAGAGATAGAGAGAGAGAGAGAGAGATTGATTGATCCAGGTCAAGAATGCCCTCCCTTTCACTCCATCCTCCACAGCCCTGCTTAAATCCCAGTTAATTCCATGACATCTTCTGTGTTTACTCTACTTCAAAGTGATTTCTCTCTCTCTTTCTCTTCAAATGGCTTTTTATTGTTCACTGCTATGCTAGTGATTTGAAAGACCAGGTGACCTCTCACCCATGACGGAGCTTTTGTACAGCAGGGCTGTGCTTTATACAGAATGATCAGCCACCAAGAGCTCTTAGATGCAGCCCAGGAGCAATGGCTCATGCCTGTAATCCCAGCACTTTGGAAGGCTGAAGCGGGTGGGTCACCTAAGGTTGGGAGTTCGAGGCCAGCCCAACCAACTGGGATAAACCCCGTCTCTACTAAAAATACAAAAGTAGCTGGGTGTGGTGGTACATGCCTGTAATCCCAGCCACTCAGGAGGCTGAGGAAAGAGAATCGCTTGAAACTGGGAGGCAGAGGTTGCGGTGAGCCGAGATGGCACCATTGCACTCCAGCCCAGGCAACAAGAGTGAAACTCTGTCTCAAAAGAAAAAAAAAAAGAAGAAAGAAGGAAAAGAAAGAAAGAAAGAAAGAAAGAAAGAAAGAAAGAAAGAAAGAAAGAAAGAAAGAAAGAAAGAAAGAGAGAAAGAAAGAAAGAAAGAGAGAGAAAGAGCTCTTAGGTGTGAGGCCCTGCAAGGAACAAATGGCCTGGGCTACCTTCACTGATGCCCTCAGCACCTTCTAAGGTGAGGCTAACACCAGCTCACATTGATGAGTTGGTGCTGGGCCTGGAGTAAAATGTGTATTTCATTTAAGCTGCCCACCAGCTTGTGAGGCCAGTGCATTACAGTGACCGCGGGGCTCCTCAGTGTGTGTATAAGACAGAAACTGTGCATGGCCAAAGCTATGCTTGAAAACCCTCAGGGAGGCACCACCTCAAGGACCAACATAGCATCACTTAGTAAGGGCAACAGCCTTGGAACAGATGACTCTGTGTGTGTGTGTGTGTGTGCGCACACGTGCGTGTGTGTGTAGCATTAGATGAAGTAGTAACTTATGTTTAGAGGTTGCCTTATTGCACAAATATAGTTGCTTTTACACACTGGACTCACCTTCTGCCAATAAGTTGTTCAATTATGAGAAATAAACAATGTCTGAAACTAAGAAAACAGCAGATTCTCACCTCTTATCTCCAGGGAATGTGCTCTTTGGCTAGAATATATGGCAGAATCAATAGTGAATAAAATATACTGTGGAAACAATAGTGAAAGGAATATATGACACTATCAATAGCAATCGTTAAGTTTTTTTTTTCTTTTTAATTTTTCTTTTTAGGTTTGTCTAGTTAAATGTATCTAAGTTTTATGTGTATATGAAGAATCACTGTTTTCCTATTATACAGATTTGGAAACTGAGATTCCCAGCTTTTAAGTCCTTGCCTAAGGTTACATAGCACAGAAACAGTCACATAAGAAACTGAGCCCTGTCTGCACAGTGCAGCACTTTGTTCAGCCCTGGGTATCTGACTCACTCATTCCTTGAGGACCCTCTCATGACAACTGTAAATAGGCAGCTGAAAGAATCCCAATCTTTGATGGTGGGAGGGGAAGGTGGTTGGAAAGCATTAAAAGACCACGCTCCAGCAGTTCACTGATGTGGGAAATTGTCCGTATTTCAGGTCAACCATCAGCATAGATTTTGGTCTGCAAAGCCCCCGATGAGCAAGAATGCAGTGTAGACATATGGGTGCCCAGAGTTTAAAGGAAAAATACTCGGACTCACATCGGAGTTTAAGACCCCTTCATTGCCTCTCCTACTGGGCTGGAGTGACTGGAGTCAGTGGGGAATTACCAACCCTGGGGCTGTCTCTGCATCTCAAGCCCCCAGAGCTGGGCTTCCTTGTTTACTTATTTAGAGCCCAGCAGAGGAAGTGGTAAAGGAAACTAGCTGAGTCGTTTTCTGAGAAGAGACCATATTTGTTCGCAGAGGAAGTCGTTGCTTTCTGGGATCTGGCTACGGCAGAAAAGACATCGGCTCCAACAAGGGTGTTCCACAGGGTAGCAGGGAGTTGGAAGAGCCAAGAACGCCTCCGAGCTCTGGATTTGAGCTTCTCGGCCCATGGGTGCAGCGCTCATGCTCAGCTTGTGAGCTTCCTCCTGGGAGAGCAGCCATGGCACTGAGGAATGTACCCTTTCGCTCAGAGGTCCTGGGCTGGGACCCTGACAGCCTTGCTGACTATTTCAAGAAGGTGAGCCTTGCTCTTGTGTGAGTGGTCATGATGATAGTGCCCTTCGTGGGCTGAACTGAGGCTTGACAATGGAATTGGGGCAGAATGTGGGAGGTGTATAAGATAGCAATGGAAACCTATGGCAACTTTACTGGTTGAGTGAGCGCCATATAGACCGCTGAGTTTTCCTGGCAATGAGTTCTGGAGAGAAGGATGTGAGCAGGAGCCCTCAAATGAGTATGTGCCTATTATGTGCTAGGGTTTGAATTCAGTGTTTCACAGGCACCATCCCATTTAATGCTCCCTACTCTCCTGTGAGGTCAGCATTGTTATCCCCTTGACTCAGCTGTAAAGTCAGCTCAGGGAACTGAAATGGTCCGAAACCCTAGGGACCACATGTGATAGAGGCAAGTTTCAAGTCACACCTATCTGGTTTTAAAGTCCATGCTCTGAGATGCAGAGAACTGTTGCAACTGCTAATGAGATCAACGCTCCTTACTAGAAAGGGGCGACATGGCGTCCTGGAGGCGGGAGAAAGAATAGGCAGGGTGGGAGGGCTGGTTAGAGGACCAAGATGAGCAGGTGCCAGACACGGCAGGTTAGAGGACTAAGATGAGCAGGTGCCAGACACGGCATTTAGGCTTTCACTGCTCACAACCCTGAGGAGGGTCCTCAAGCTCCTGCTTGGGGCAGAGTCTCCTTGGAGCTTTATGAGAGTCTTGTGAAGCAGGCCAGAAAACTGATATAAGCCCCAATTTATAGCTATGAAAACTGAGGCCCCTAGAGGGGAAGAGGCTTGTGGCAGTGCTGGGACCAGAATGTTGCTGTCCTGTCTTCTGGGCTTAGAGGAAAGATTGAAGGATCCCTGTGTTTGGTCATTGGCAGAAGGGGACGACACATCTGCTTGGGCAGATCTCAAGCCACATGACTTAGTTAGTGTCCCTCTACCCTGACCATGCAGTAAGATGCCTTGTGAGAGACATTTAAGCTTCTAACACCTCATCCCTGCAGGCTGGCATCAGATTCTGTTGACATTCCAGACTGTCATAAAGATGAGATTGTAAAGCTAAGATGGTAGAAGTCATCTAACTCAGCTTCCTGTTTTTCCTGGGGAAATTGAGATTCAAGCGGGTAGACGAGGTTCCCTAGGACATATAGCCAAACCTGGAGTCTACGCAGTTCCAAGGCATTTATAGTCACAGCTGTTCTACCCCAATCTGAAGAAGAAAATGCGAACATGTTAAACTAGGTGTGGTATGGTAGGGGTGCAGCTCACAGATCCTGGTTATTTTTTTATTTTTTTTGCCATATTTAGTGCTTTCATTTCTGTTATTTTCCTTCTGCAAGGTCATCATAAACTTAGGTTTCAGCAAATGTTGTTGCACAACTGGTTTTTTGAAGGTTGTTTCTAAATATCTTTCTCAAATATAGACCAAATAAGATAGGGCAACAAGGTAAAACTTGCCAAGAGGGAATAAAGTGACATGTTACCTTGGTAAAGGAAAAAGAAAGGAATTGAGAATTATGAAGAGAAAGACTTGAGATGGGCTGAGAGGCACAGACAGGCCTGACTTTCAGGTGTGACCAGGAGAATTACACAATCCAATTGAGCAACAGAGAACTTATCCCTAAAACTCCCGTCAGTACAGGGAGATGGAGCATGGGTCAGGGATGTTATCGGAAGACGTCTGTGCCTGAGCTGGGGGAAGGGAGAGTTTTCTTCCTGGATATCTCAGACCCCAGGACAAATCTATGGCATCCAAGCAGGTTCCTTCTTCTGGCATAAATGGACGGAGGGGAGAAACTAGGAGACTGAGGTGAATCTGTGATCCTGGAAGTCCTAATGTCTCCACAGACTTGGATAGAAACCCTTCAGATTCTGAGTACCTCAGCCCCCTGAAAGAAAATACCAAATGAATGGACCGCAGAGTTGTTTAGGAATGGATCTCAGCCATCAATCATGACATGTAAAGGATTGATCTGCAGATGCAAACTCTACCCAAGTAGTGGGGTCCGACCTCTCCTGGAGACGCCTCCTTTGGAGATACCTCCTGAGTCAGCTCTGGAGTCAGACACACCTTGCCCTGGCTCTGCCACCTGCTAGCTTGGCGACTTTCCCACAGTTGCTTTGCTTCTCTGTGCCTCCACTTCCTCATCAGTGAAATAGAGATACGAACAGTAACTAACTCCATGGGCTGGTTGTGAGAATTAAAGGAAATGATGGGTGTAAGGCACTCAGCAGACAGATGGGTCCTAATGCATGTTCCATCTGCTCTTTTTCCTTCTCTATTAACTGGCTCCTAGCTGGGGACACCAATGCAGACTGCTGGGATTTTGTGTCTTCTTGTCTCTGACATGTGTACCTCATCCTGTGTCTGGAATATAAGCTCCTGAGGACTGAGACCATGTAGTATATTTGTTCAATCTGTCCAATTCCTTTTGACTTGCAGGAGAACATCTTTGGGTCATGCAGTGGAGAGGCACTGGCTCAGAGCTATGTGTCCTAATCCCAGGTGGGGTCCCAGCTGGTATCCCAGCACACTGTGTGACCTTAGACCAACCTCTTTGCCTCTAGAGGCCTCAGTCTTCCTTACTACAAATCCAGGTAACTTTTCTGGACCACTTTATGCTTCTTAAAAATACAGATCTGAGGTCCACAAGCCCAGATCTTGCTGGAGCAGAATCAAATGCCTGGGTCCCAGTCTGCAGGATTCTCTGCTGATCTAGACACAAAGTTAGCACTCTTCAAAATCATCTGGTTTATCTGATAATGATAACAGTGAGAATGATGAATTAAAGGCAGTTGACTCTTCTGAGAACCACTTACCCCCCACTGCCTGTAGATAAAGGGGACACCAGGGCTCTGTAGACGCGACGTGCTTTCAATATCAACTTTTAAGTCAGCTTTCTGAGTGTGATATTCATCCCACCCTTCCAAGCTAAGACGTCACAACAATTGTATTTATTCTTTGGATTGGTCAGCTATAAGATAAAAAGATGGTTTAAAATGTGCTCCAAAAGAAGGCTGCCACAAACCATGAGGCCCCTCCTTGTGAGGAGAACCTGGGATCCTCAAGAAGAAACACTTAACCTTAAATGCTCCACCTCAAAGCAGCAAGCTGAGAGATACTTCAAATGTGAACATTTATGCTGTTGAGGACAAGTTGAAACCAGCATTTCATATGACTGCTGATTGGTTTAGGAAAATAACCAAGGTCTTAAAAATGCTCATTCATATGGATACTATATAACTCTGTTCTGAGATTCTGACTTAAACAATTTATCTCAAAGAGGGAGGAAAAAGTTTTGCAAAATAGTATCCATGATGGTCTCTATTTTGATTGGGATGATGTACTGCAAACAAATGAAGCTGCGTTTTCATTTGCTCATTTTACTTACCGTATATAAGTTATACTGATACTAAAAGGGGAATATTTCTGAAAGAGACATTAAAGCCTGTTCTGAAACCTGTCACCTAAAATCCATGGAACCTCATGCAAGTTACTTGCTGTCTGTGTCTCTCATTCCCCATCTGCAAAATGTGAGGGTAAAATGATTGAAGACTAGTTTAACCACTTGGACCAGTGCCTGCCATACAGAAAGCTTTTGATAATTGTTAGCCATTTTTATTATCATTATTGAAATAGCAGTTTGGTAAATAAATGTCCAGCAATAAGGGAATGATTAAATAATGTTGTGGTCATTAAAATATTGTTTAAATTGAGTTTGCATAACACTAGGCAGTGTTTATATTATCCTTTCAGGTAATTTAAGAGAAAAAAAGTCAGGATAATGAGATTGAATCTAAATCATAACCTCAATTATGTTTAGAAACATGCTAGGAAGAAAGCATTGAAAGAAACACTGAGGTTGTCTCTGGGCATCGAGACAATGGATGGTATTTCTTTTCTTCTTTCAGCCCCTCTCTACCTTCCTGAGGAGCATAGGGCAGAGCTCTGCATGCCTTGAAGACAGTCTTTCTGGAAGGGTTGGCCCCAAAGCCTTAGAGCAAGGCAATTTCTCCATTTCAGGCAGTCCCAAGGGGGTAGTGAAAGCGAGGCTGAGGTGGGGACTGGGCCCTCTGTTAGCCAAGGGAGGGCAGTGGGGAGCCTGGCTAGCCACAAGTACCGCAAAGTGCTAAGTTTCTGGGGCAGACAAGGGAGAGGAACCAATGGTATGAGCCTGCCCGTCAGTGACAACACCTTCCTCTTCTCTTTGCAGCTCAACTATAAGGACTGTGAGAAGGCAGTGAAGAAGTACCACATCGATGGGGCTCGCTTCTTGGTAAGCTCTGGCTAGTCCAACACACTGAAACCAAGACTGTTCGGCACTTTTCCCCACGGCTGCAGGGCCAACTGGCCTACCCTTTCCCCGGGGACACCCATGGTCAACGCCTGTCTTTAGGATCCCCACACAGCCCTTTGCCTTCTCCAGAAATTTGGTAGGGCCCCCTCTCTCACCACCTCTCAGGATCCTACCATCCAGAACCCCTCTCTGATCTTCCACTTCCACTTTAAAGAGAAATCCAAGTATAGTAAAAAAATAATCTGGAAAATCTATTTAAATGCCATCCATCCTTTGAAAAGCCCAAGGAGAAGAAGGATCATATGGGCGAACAGAAGCTTCCCACCTCCCATTTCTCACTCTGGAGCACAAACTCATGAGTGAAATAAAGGATGGCATCACCCTCATTGTTTCAATTACTTCCTTCTCTCTCACTACCAGATTCATAAAGCTGATATTGTATCAAACACACATGTGATATGGCTGTCTCCACTGTATTATACTTCAAAAAGCTTGAAGTCTAAGACCAAGGTGCAGATGTATATTAAAGACTAAGCCATTAAAGAGAAAATGATGCAGCTTTAATGGTGGGGACAGAGGTGCTAGGTTGTGGTAGGGGAGGTGGTTTGAGCATTTTCCCTGAAATGACACCTTTGCCCACGGGTTAAGAAAGACCCTGACGGCACCAAACCATCCTTTCTGGGAACTTTTCTTTACTCTTTGAAAACAAGACTTCAAGGGTCTCATGGGGGTAGATGTTCCTAATTTAAATTCAGAGTGAGGACAATAAGCTAAGTTGTGTCTCCCTGTAAGACATTGTCAGTAAGGGAACTTGACCATGAGACTTCAGGCCATTTGGACAAGACCAGAGAGATCACAGCTCCAGCTTGCCCCCAGAGAACACCAATCCATTTCTTCTATTACATCTCTGCTACCAACATCTTCTTGAATTCCTTCAGTGATGGTGAGCTCGCCACTACCCACAGTCATCTGGCCCTTTCTAGGCAGCTCTCAAGTCTTACGCTGAAACTAACCTGTGCTCCTATTGGTCTGAGTTTTGCTTCCAGGTGCCATGTAAGACATGTCTACTCACTGTCCACCTAAATCATTCATTCATTTGCCTATTGGTTCACTTGACAAGCAGTTTCCTGAGCTGCTTTTACATACTGGAGAGCATTATAGGTGGTGGGGATAGAGAAATGGTTAAGACGCGATTTCTGCCTTCTAGAAACTTGTTTTATAGCAGAAACGTATGTTCAGAAAAGTTTCCAACTACCTCATTTGCAGATGAGGAAACACATGCAGAGCTGTGATGTGATTTGTTCTATGTCACAGACCTCATAATTGAACTAAAGCATACACTTAATTTAGTCTAATACCATTTGAGTTTTTAACAATATTTTTTTTATTCGTAGTGAGATTTGAGTCAGTAGAATTCCTAGAGTTTTAGTGCTATTCTTGCAAATTATGCTAAACCCAAATATTTCATTCTGGTGCTATTAGCACTGAGAAAAGAGACTTATCACAGTTGAACAGAAAGGGAGGAAGACATCTTTGCAGATGGTGCCTGCGAGGCCCTGTTGCCTCGGGCACAGGGTCTTCCTCAGGGTCACCCTGAGCAAGCACTTGCCCTCTCTCAGCCTGCCTTGCTTCCTACCCTGTTGACTGAGCACAGTGGACTGAGTCATAGTGGGTGATGACCCCTCCCGGCTCTGTGATTCCCCACAACAGTCCCTGTGGGAGTGTCAGGCCTGGTAGAACAGGGTTGTTTGAGAGATAGTATCTAGGCAGCTATGTTTCCTCTGCTCCAATCAGTCCTCTCTCAGTTCTTCAGACAATGTGGCACATTCTGTTCATTGTATGAAGAGGAGGAAGTGGAAAGTAGGGTGATAGGAACCAGAAGAAAGGAAGCAGAATCCAGTGCCTGTCCCAGCAACTGGGAGATGTAAAGGCAGCTTCTGCTGAAACCCACCCTCCACCACAGGTGTGCTGGATACAATTGGGGATGCTTGATCTAAGCTCTAATTACTCATCTATCACCCTTTCCAGCTCTGTAATTCCAGGGCCACTCTGCTATTGAAGGCAAAAGTGAAAGGCCCTAGTTATTTTTCTAACTTCCTTCCTTCCTTCCTTCCTTCTTTCCCTCCTTCCTTCTTTCCTTCCTTCCTCCCTCCCTCCCCTCCCTTGTCCTCCCCTCTCCTCTTCCCTCTTTTCCCTTCCCTTTCCTTTCCTTCCCTTTCTTCTTTCTTCTCCCTCTCTCTTTCTTTCCTTCCTTCCTTCCCTCTCTCCATCTCTTTCTCTTTCTTTCCTTCTTTCTTCTTTCCTTCCTTCCTTTTGTTTCTTTTCTTCTTTCTTTTTCTTTCTTTCTCTTTCTTTCTTTCTTTCTTTCTTTCTTCTTTCCTTCCTTCCTTTTCTTTCTTTTCTTTTCTTCTTTCTTTCTCTCTCTCTGTCTCTCTCTCTCTCCCTTCTTTCTTTCTTTCTTTGCCATTTTTGTTTTCCACTGAAAAGGATAGATCCTTATCTGGTAGAAGCTATGCTTCTACAAGGTATAAAAAGAAGAGAAAAGGAGCTTGAGACCTGTGTCAGTTGGGAAGGCATGTGATCCATGTTGCAGAAACCTGACCACAGTGGCCCAATCAAATAAGGGTCAGTCTGTTTCAAGTAATAATAAATGTATAGGGGGGTGCTTGGCGATGGTGAAGGAAGTCATCAAGAACCCAGCCTTCATCTAACCTATGGAAAAGCCTGTGGCTTCTGTCCTAACAGTTATGAGTTGGCCACTTCACCTCTAGGCATCATATCTCCAGGGAGATATGAAAGAAAGGCAGGGAGGAGGGGAGAAAGGCAAAGAGGAGATGGTGTATGGTGAACGGTAAATGCATGCTCCCTTTTTTCCAGGAAAGTAGTGACTTTTCCAGGAGCTCCATCCAGCAGACTGTGGTTGTATCTTACTGTCCACAGCAGAGTCATGTGACCTCCACCCTCTGCAAGGGAGTCTGGGGAGTTAAATATTTTGAACAAGCACATTTACTGCCCTGAATGAAATCCAGGTCCTGTCAGTAGGAAAACAAAGGGAGAGTGGGTATTGGGTAGGCAAGCAGCCATGTCTGCCACATTGCCTCTCCCACCAGGCCCAGTTTGTGGCTTTCCTCTTTCTGTACCCCTCTTCTCAACACCCACAGCATATAATCATACTCCCACAAAGCCACAAATCTTAACTCCAAAATCATCATGCAAATAACCCAGAGTTTGCTGAAGGCTTTTGGAAGAGGTGGAAGAGGGGGTTACATCACATAGCAAAACTCTCCAAAAATTCTGTTTCAACATCTCTCATCTTTCCTTACAGTTCTTGTCCCTGTTCGGAATGTCTTCCTCTTTCCTAACACTCTGCTTCTATGTGTCTCCAGCCACGCTCACATCCTCCTCCTCCTCCACAATCTTCCTGAAATTCCCTCAGCTTACGCCCTCCTCTCAGCAGAGCAGAAGCTGGTGGCCAGCTGCTCAGGGCTCAGCTGCCGCCCCTCTGGCAGCCCTTAGGAAGGCTTCAACTCCTCACACCACACTCAAAACATGAGTCTTGGTACCTCCCTGAGTGGGGGTAGTTCAGAAGCAGGGAGATGCTGCTGCTCAGTGATGAAAAAAAGAAAGAAAAGAAAAAAAAAGAAGAGAAAGGAAGGAAGGAAGGAAGGAAGGAAGGAAGGAAGGAAGGAAGGAAGGAAGAAAGGAAGAAAGAAAGAAAGAAAGAAGGAAAGAAAGAAAGAAAGAGAAAAAAGGAGAAAGAAGGAGAGAAAGAGAGAGAGAGAGAGAAAGAAAGAAAGAAAGAGGAGTTAAGAAGCTTGGCCAAAAGCCTGATGCCCTCAGGACTTCTGGCTGACTCCCTTCACCAGTCCCAACCCTGCCTCAGGTGGTCTGATCTGTGTCCACATCAGAAATCATGCCTATGAGCTGGATCAGATGGGTCCAGTGAACATGTCGCTAAGATGCCCTAGTCCCAGCCTCTGTGCCAGCTGATGTCAAAGAATAGTGCCCAGATCTTTCCAATGGTCAGAAAACCTGACAGGCAGCTCCCAGAACAGACAAGGAAAAGGAGCAAAAACTCTAAACTCTAAGACTCACACAGACCCCTGCTTCTTCCCCACCAGGGGTAGAAATTCCTCTTCTTACTCCTCCATTTCTCCGTCACACACTGTGCCAGGCACTGTGCCAAAACACATTACATACACCATCCCACTCAGTCCTCACAACCCTGACAGATGGGTATCATTATTATTGTTATGGTCCCCATTTTACAGACAAGGAAACTGAGGCTCAGAGAGGCAAAGTGCATGCCCTAAATGAGACAGCTGCTAAGTGAATGAACCAAAATTCAAACCCAGCCCATCTGATTCCAGAGCTCCCACCCTAACTACCCAGCCCTCTAGCCTTAATTAGAATGGTGGTGGAGCCCTTTGTCAGCTCATCGTTGGTTCTATGGAAAGCATGGCCAGTCTCTTTTCTGTTCCCAGTTCTGACGTGCTCTCCTCTCCTCCTCCGTCCCAGATGCCTTCTTTCACCCTTCCCCCCATCTTCCCCTCCAACATGGGGCACGGGGGCCCTCAAAAGGATCAGACATGGTAGGATGGAGGTTTGCAGGAAGAAAATAGACTGTGGATGTCCTAGAGTGGAATTCCAGCCCCAGCTCATTCCCCACAAGTGGAAATCCCCTTCATATCCCTGAGCCTCGGCTTTCTCACTTGCGGAATGTGAATGCTGGTAACTCCTGCATCACAGAGTTGATCACTACGGTGTTAAGAGGCAGAGGCCCAGGGTTAGTTCTTGACAAATATGAGTTTCTTTCTCCTCTCCCTTCTCAGTTCCCTCAGGAAAGCCTTTGCATGGCATCCCCATATCTTAAGAATTCTACCAATAACCCTGGTGAAAGAGGCTCTCCGGGGTGTGATGTCGGTAAAAGAGGCACACAGTGCTCCAGGCTGGCTTCTCTGCAGCTGACCTTGTGGAGACTGAGAGGGCCAGAGGTCTGGGGTGTAGGGAAGAGGTCACAACATGGCCGAATGCAACCCACAAAACGAGTCGTTTGGTTTCACAGATTTAGCTCTCACAGTGCTTAAGTCAAAATTATTTGTCAACATTTAGAACTCAGAGCATTTTACATAAAACCCAGATTTAAGGATTCCTTTTGAAAAAGCAGCTCCAGCAACACCAGGCCCACAGGCTTTTAGGCAAAATATCTAGAGGCTGCCCACTTTGGGAGGGTGGGTGGGCGGGAGGTTTCTCCTCTGTTTGCCACAGTCCCCACCACTCCCTATATTGTTTCACATATCACTCTTCCCCTCCTACTCAAATCCCTTTCTGTGGGTTGTAACCTGCCTGCCGTATGTGTCTTCATTTCAGAACCTGACAGAAAATGACATCCAGAAGTTCCCCAAGCTCCGGGTGCCGTAAGTACTCCTCCAACTCTATGGGTGATCTGGGAGCAGAGGTGGGAATAGGGAGTAGTGCGAGTGAGGGCTGGGTCAGTTCTATGTCACTGTTGGCTTGAAATAAGAAAGCAAGTAGGAAGGATGAGGGCAAGGGCAGGATGTGGGGAACAGAAGTTACGTGAAGATCTGGAAAACAGAAGGCGCAGATCCAGCCCAGCTGGCGACCTGGATGCTCTTGCCAAAAACAAGCCCAACTTTGGCCCGTGTTTTCATTTCCTCTCTTCTCTTGGGGTGCTTGGGCCTGTGAAAATAGCACCAGTGTCAAGGTTTCATCGTGGCATCACCATTGACTCAGTGATGGCTTAAGTTTTCTTGACCTCCATTTCTCACACAGTAAAATGAGAGCTGAACCAGATGACGGCAATGGACATGATTATGTGTCGATACTGAGTGCTTGGGAATGGCTGCCAGGGAGGTTATGTGGAGAAGAATCCCAAGGAAAGGGAGCTGTGATTGATTCTGCCGTAGGTGCTGAAATGGGAAGTTGCAGTATGCGTGTCATGCCATGTATTTTTCATCCCTCTAGTAAAGGTCTCACACACTCAAATACCTGCAGGAGCCCACTATAAATGTGTAAAATTGGCACACAAAGCCCTGTTGTTTTGTTTTGTTTTATCATCATTGGACAAAACAGTGGTAAACATTCTGTGTGATGAAATATTTCTCCATTATAAGAAAAATAATAGCACAGTTATCATATGATGAAAAAAGTAACCATCGCAAAGCCTCATTGTTGGTGAAACAATAGAGAATGGTGGGGACTGTGGCAAATCAGATATCATATGTTCCATTCAAAGAGTGCAGCAGCTCCTCAGCTCCAGCCAGTGTGGACCCAACAATGTCCAATCTTCAAATTTATCAAGAATAACTAGAAATATGGGTGTCACATGATATATCTCAATTTTTAAACATTGGTTCAAATGTTTTAAATATTGTGAATGCCACAGTAAACACACCTAAGGGCTACATATAGTCTGTGTTCTCTTTTGAGTTCTCTTCTCTGGACATTCTATGAGGACCCTTCTCTTACTCTAAAGGTCTCAGAGCTCATCATAATAAAAGGGAGTAGGCCAAAGGACTAGGAGGTGGGGAGACCTCATGAATAGGTAAGAATGCTGGCAGCTCAATTAAGGAGAATATTTTTAGCATGGCTATAGGCTTTCCCTTGTCTGGAAGGGGGAAGGAAAAGAGAGGAATAAGGATTTGCCTTTGGTGCTGTCTATCTCCAGGGACACATGTTGTTGAAGATGGCTTGAGCTTTCTAAGGATATCCTCTAACCACATGTGGCTACTTCAATTTAAATTAAATTTAAAATTCATTCCCCTGAGGCACTAGCCACATTTTAATAGTTATGTATAGCTGGTGACTACTATGCTGGAGAGTACAGATATGGAACATTTCTATGATTGCAGAAATGTGATGTTGTAGAGATAAACCATAGTTATTTGCAAAACAGGGATCTTTACACACAGGTATCAGAATTGGTGGCTGGTGGGCCAGTCCCAGGCTGCAGATGTGTTAAGTTTACCACTGTGCTTTGAAATCAGGAAAAGTTTCACAAAATCCAGCCTCTTTAGAAACAAGTGAAAGATGTGGCAATTTAGGGCATATATTCTACTGTGGCAATAGTCAGCCGGATCTGATGTCTGCTGCCTGTTTAGTTGGGATTTGTGCTCCCCAGTTCACCAGGGTCCCATCATTCCCTGAGGGATCATCCTAAGGTGCATCAACCATTTATTTCATATCATGGGAACTTTGGCTTTCGAAAAAGATGAAGCAACAGGGATCAGATTTACTTTCCCACCTGAAATAACCAAATAACCAGGCAAAATACATGAAAGAGCAATTTTCAAGACATTGGGCATCAGACACCGAGGGATGGAAAACAAAGGCGGTGAAGTCTATGGTTGTTGCTGCCTTGAGAATCTCCAGGCCATGGCACAGGGAGCAGGGAACACAGTGCCGGGTCTGGTGGACGACTTGAGCTGAGGAGGCAGCAGACAGTCCAGGAGCCTGGAGTTCCTTCAGCAGGTGTCAGCGAGGAGAGAGCTGCATAGAGTCAGCATTCTGGAGAGCTTCAGAGGGGCCCCTCTTTAGCAGAGCACCGATCAGTCCATGCATGAAAGAAGAGACTGCCTGTAGGTGGCAAAACAACTACCCAACAGTACTGGAGGAAAGAGTAGCCACTCACAGGGCTGGAAATGGTGCCTTTCCAGCCTGGCTGGAAAACCTGGAGATTCACAGTCACTGGGTAGCATGCCTGGAAGGATCTTGCCTTAGCAGTGGGCAATAATTAGCCCTAATCTAAAAATTGTTCTGATCCTGGCTAGAAAACCTTAAAAGCAAGACCCAATAAAAACAAACTGCTTCTAAGTAACTTAACTACATCTCAGAACAAAACTTAAAACTATTTATAGGAATGCAAAAATATTCACTACCCAACAAATTAAGTTTATGATATTAGGCATCTAATCAGAGACTAACAAGCATGCAAATGAGCAGGAAAACATAACCCACAACGAGGAGAAAAACTAAAACATCAAAACTGACCCATAACTGACACAGAGATTAAAATCAGCAGACAAAGAGAATGTTGAGTGTATTTCATGTGTTCTAAAAGTTAAATTTGGGCGTAGGAAATTAAAAAAATACAAAGCAAAAACCCAAACAGAACTTCTAGAAATGTAAGCTATAAAATCTGAGATTAGAAATACACTGCTTGGAATTAACAGCAGATTAGACATTGCAAAAGAAAATAGTAGTAAACACGAAGATACAGTAATAGAAATTGTCCAAATTGAAACACACAGAGAAAAAAAACTAAAGCAAAACACTGAAAAGAGCATCAAGGGGCTGGGTGTGGTGGCTCATGCCTATAATCCCAGCACTTTGGGAGGTTGAGGTGGACGGATCACCTGAGGTCAGGATTTTGAGACCAGCCTGGCCAATATGGCAAAACCCCATCTCTATTAAAAATACAAATATTCACCGGGTGTGGTGGTAGGCGCCTGTAGTCCCAGCTACTCAAGAGGCTGAGGCAAGAGAATCACTTGAACCTGGGAGGTGGAGGCTGCAGTGAACTGAGATTGCACCACTGTACTCCAGCCTGGGTGACAGGGCAAGACTCCATCAAAAAAAAAAAAAAAGCATCAAGGAATTTTGGGACAATTTCAGAGAGCCAAATATATGTCTAAAGTCCCCAAAGGAGAGGAAAGAATGTGCATGTGAGTGGGGTAGGAGAGACAGAAATAAAACACTTGAAGACATAATGGCTAAAAATGTTGCAAACTGGATGCAAATTATAAACCCACAGATCCAAGAGGCTCAACAAATTCCAAATGTAAGAAACAGGAAGAAAACTAGCTCTGAGGTACATCATAATCAAATTGCTCAAAACTAATGATAAAAAGAAAATCTTAAAAGCAGTCAGAAAAAAAAAAAAGACATATTACATACAAAGGAACAAATGTAAGGATCACAGCAGCTTTCTCGAAAGTAAAATAGCAAAAGAAAATATTGTCAACCTAGAGTTTAATACTAGGCAAAAATATCTTCTAAAAATGAAGACGAAATAAAGACTTTTTCAGACACACAAAATCTGAACTGTACTGCCTTTTAAACTGTAGGTGCTTTTTAAAAGTCTTTCAAGCAGAAAGGAAGTGACACCAGATATTAACCTGGATGTGTATCTAGGAATGAAGAATGCCAGAAATGGTAACTATGTAGGTCTATGTATGTACGTGGCCCTTGAGGGCATTTGAGTTTGCATCCTGTGGTCCCTATACAAGATTAATAGTTCCATAATACTTTATTCATTTAGTGAACTGCTATTAGATAACTACAATGTGTCAGGCCTTTGTTAAAATTACTCAGGCTACAAAGATATGGGACAGAATCCTCATCCTCAGGACACTCACATTCTAAAGGGAGGTCAGATAGACAAGCAAAGCAACTATACTACAATTACAACAGTGCAATGGTGCATGTATGCACAAGTTCAAGGGCTAGTAGGAAGGCAGGAGTAATTTTCCCTAGAGTATTCAGGGCAGACAAGGGAGGAAGGGACCCTAAGTTAAATCTTGAAATAGGAAGGATGGATTGGAGGACATTCTAGAAATGGGAACATATTACAGAGGCACCACCCAGTGTGCCTGGCAGAACGGCCAGTGGGGCAGAGCAGCTGGGGCGTATACCTAGGTGAGTGGAAAGCAGAGGCTGAAGTGACTGGTTGGGGGCGGTGTGCCACAATTTATAAAGGTCCCGTGAGCAGTTCTCAGGAGCCAGAGAGTGTTGGTGAAGTAAGCATCAAGGTAAATTTGTGTCTTATCTCTGTCCAGGACATGTAAGTGATGATCTGGAGGACAGCCCAGCTGGGGACATGAGACCAAGTTAGTTGGTAGTGACCAAGATCCTGCCAATGAGCTAAGAACCTCCCTTAGCACTGTAGCTATGAAGATGGGAGGATGGAAGAGATTTAATCAGAACAGTGGAAGGACAGAAATAAAGAAGTCACTTTCAACTTGGAAGATCCTTTTCCACCTTAAGGCTAAGCTCAGCTGATGTCTTCTAGCTTTTTTGAGAGCCTGGAGAAGGTGGTAGGGGTGGGAAATGGCTTCTGGTTAGCGTGAACAGGAGAATTATAAACACGTTGCGAATGGACTGGGGTGGGATATTTCTTTAGCTCTCTGAAAACTGAAACAAAAACTTGGCCTGTGAGGGAATCCCCTCCTCCAGTGTGTTTGAATGTGCACCCTAGAAAGACTATGAGGCCTGCCTGCCCATAGAACATGAAAGGTTAATATGGAGAACGATGGAGAAGATATCAAGGGAAGGTCCAGGCTGCCCTAATGAGGTGACTTAGAGACTCACTGTCCCTCTTGGCAGAAATGTGTAACAAGGACCAATTCCAGCTCTACTTCCAATGACTTATGTGACCTGGGACACATCCCTCGATCAC